CGCGCCCAGATTTCCCAGCCCGGCCGGGCTGGCAGGCGGGTGGGCGGGAGCCCTGTCTGTTCCTTCCCGGTAGCCGATGCGCCCCGGGTAGACTGCGCCTGGCTGGGCGGGGCCGAATCGCGCTTATTTTTGGATGCTCACTAATACAACTTAGCCTCTCCCGTTTTCCTCCTTGATTTTCTTGGGGTCAGGTTCCAGAAGTGCTTCAGGTCACCGTTCTCCTTCAAGGCGTGGCCCTCGGAACGAAGGCAGCAGGTGCCAGTTTTCTAACACGGTTTAAAGTCTGTGTGTGGGACCTCCTGTGGGAGGTTAGGGCAGGGGCATTTCAGCATCTAGGTTAGATTCTTTTGTCCTTAGCTATTTCGCTAGGTGTAGCCAGTTCTTCTGACTCGAGGCTCTGGATGTGAGTGCTTTTGTGTGAGACTATTTTAAGACATTCTCTGCCATCTTGAATGAAAGAAACTCGGGATTTGATGCCAGTTTTTTATCAAACAGGTTAAAACTCACACGTGTGTGTGTGTGTGTGTGTGTGTGTGTGTGTGTGTGTGTATTCCTTTACTTTCGTTCATGCAAGTAGATATTAAGAATTTTTTTTTTTTAAAGAAAAGGCCCGTGCAGTACAACAGTACTAACGGTGCAGAATGTTTTTGGATGTTGAAATATGGACCAACTATTGATACCACTGGAGGAATAATTTGGAATCAGCCGTTCTTGCAGCTTCCCAGAAGCAATACTCAGTGAATGATACCCAGATGAATCTTGAAACTGTGAACTGTATTAGAAAGGCAGAAGGGAGAAAATGTATTACAGAGGACGGGGACTGAGCATGCCAGGGTTGGGAGGAATGCAGGTGCCTGGTGTGCATTTAGGGAGCCAGATTGCAGTGGGTTGCTAAGTAAAGTCGTTTGATGTGGTTACAATGTAGTAGTAGAAAATGTGGCCAATTTACTGAAATGAAGAGTGGGTGTGAGGTGTACACTTGGAGACAGAGGGCCTGAATTTGGGAAATGAAATAACAGTAATGGTTTGGACAAACATTTCTAAGGTAAAAGCAAGGAAACAGTTACAGAATGAATGTGAGAGCTAAAAGAGTCAAAAATGTAGGTTGCTTAGATTTCTAGAGAAAGGGAAACAGTAAATGTATTTTTGCTTTTATTTTCTATTTCTGTATATAATAGTAACAAATGCCTAAAGAACATTTTATGTAGAAAATAAATTAAAAAATTCTCACACCACCCAAAGATGGTCACTATTAACAGTATGGTATGTGTTCATACAGACTTTTTTCCCTTTGTAAATGTATATTTATGTGTGTGTGACAGTTTTTAAAATAAGAGGTGTAATATGTAGAATTTCATGTGTATTTTTCACTTAAACTTATCGTGAATGTTCTCCCATTTGTCACTCTCTGAAAACATTTTAAATAATATAATATCCCATTATGGATATGAGACATTTCTCTATCATTGACTAATTAGATTGTTTCAAAATAATTCTCATTTGTAATCAGCGGTGCTGTAAATCCATCTTTAATTGCAACTGTGATTTTCCTCAGAATAATTTTTACAAGTAGAACTAGTAGATCAGAGATTAGAAACATTTTTAAAAGACTTACGCATAAAGCTTTTATCAATTCACATTTTCACTAGGAATAAGAGATTATTTCATCAAATTCTCAGAAACAGCCTTCTTAGTTTCCTTTACTCTTTGCTAATATTACAGGCAAAAATAACATTTCATTGTTCTAATTTACATTCTATACATCTTATAAGCCATTTTTATTTCTTTCAAAATTAAAAAATATATATATTTTCATTGCCAGAGGGCCGTGCACTGCCAGAAAGAGGGAAAAAGCACCCTTTAATAGGGTGTGGTTACACCGCAATCCTTCCTCCTCCATTTCTCTATCCAGGATTTGGGGCGCCTTGGCACTGACTCTGGCATATTTTTTAAGCTACCAATCTAGGACTCAAACTATAGTCGCTCCTGTGGGATTCAGCTTTCCTTAACCACAAAGCTCTAGGACTGCCTGCCATTTTTAATTCCTTCAACATTTCTTTTCATATTTTGCATGAGTTCTTCATATATCACTAAGACTTTATATTTCTTGGGAATTCTTTTCCAGTTTACAGTTTAATTTTCTTTTTGTTATTACTGTAGTATAATATATAAGGAAAGTACAGAGATCATTAAGTGTGCAGATGGATGAATTGGGTTGTTGAAAAAGTCATGATGCATTTTAGCATAGGAAAAAAACGCCATGACTTTTCCAACAACCCAATATGTTTACATATCGACACACCCTTGTAACCAGCACCCAGATTAAAAAACAAAACAAAACAAAACAAAACAAAAAACAGAATATTACCAGCACATCAGAAGCTCCCTGCTGGTCCTTTTCTCCTTTTCTGTCACTGCTCCCCTCCCCAAAAATAACCATTCTTCAGACTGACCAGCCTAGATTAGTTTTTCTATTTTTATGGTATACATCTGGTGTAGTTCCATTCACATGCTTTTATGTGTCTGGCTTTTGTTTTTGTTCTCTGGCATTATTTGTGAGATGCTTTCATATTGTT